AGGTGGGGCCCCCAGAGGGGCCCCCAAAGGGGCCCCCAAGGGGGCCCCCAGAGGGTATTTCTGCGCTGCCGGTTTTGTTTTTGCCAGGGGCTGTGCTGTGGGCCCTGGGTATTACCCCGGGGGAAGCAGAAGTAGATGTTTGGGAGGCCACTGAGTTTAATGCTGGCGGGGAAGGTGCTGCTGCTGCTGCTGCTGCTGCTGCTGCTACGTTAGCTGCTTCTGCGTATGGTGCTGCTGCTGTTGTTGCTGCTTTGCATGCTGCTGCGTCTGCTGCTACTGCTGTTGTTGCTGCGGTGGCTGCTGCCGCGTCCGCTGCTACTGCTGTTCTGCTGCTGTGTGTGCTGCTCTTGCTGCTGCTGCTGCTGCTGCTGCTGCTAGGCGTGCTGCTGCTGCTGCTGCGTCTTTTGCTGCTCAGGGCCCCCCGGGCGTTCCTCTTTGCCCCTTCCCTTCCGCCTGCTGCCAGTGGCCTCGCGCTGCCAGCTGCAGCAGCTGTACCCTCCCAGAGTGGACCCTTGGGGGCTTTTGGGGGCCCCCAGTTTGGGGTCCCCGGGAGGCCCCCGGGGGGCCCCCCTGAGGGCTGAAGAGGCCCAGGAACTCCTCGCAGATTACTTTTCTGTGCCCCGCGTGTTGGCCGTGGGAGACATCTTTGCAGTACCCAGGGGGCCCCTCACTTACGGGGCCCCCTGCTGCACTTCGGGCTGCAGCAAGGGGGCCCCCCAGTACCCTGGGGGCCCCCCTGCTGGCTGCCCCTGCTGCCTCTCGCTGCACGAAGTAGAACATGCTGAGGCCTTTGGCCTGGGGGCCCCCCGCTGTGCCTTTTTGTCTTCTCGAGTTCTTTGCAAAGCGAGCAAAAACCCGGACTTGGGGCCCCTCTTCGTTTGGGGCCCCCGGGGGCCCCCGGGGGCCCCCGCAGCGCAGCAAGACGGCGCAGCAGCAGCCACCTGGGGGGCCCCCGAGCGGCCCCCCAGGGGCCCCGCAGCCCCAGGGGGGGCCCCCCTGTCCCCCCCGCAGCTGACGCAAAGGCTGGGGAGGGGGGGCCCCTGCAGCAATAGGGGGCCCCCCCTCTGCCACTGGGGCCCCTCAGACCCTGTTTTTGGCTGCGGCGGCGCAGAGTCCCTTCACCAAGTAGCCATGGTCTTCAGAGTGGCAGCTTTGGAGGGCCTGGGGGGCCCCCAGGGGCCCCCCTTAGGGGCCCCTAAAGGGGCCCCCCAAGGGGCCCCCTTGGGGGCCCCTGCAGGGGCCTCCTCCTTGGGGGCCCCTGCAGGGGCTCCCGGCGGGGCCCCCCGGGGCCCCTCCCTGGGGGGCCCCCCCGAGGGGCCCCCAGGGGGGCCCCCCTCCCCTTTTCAGTGCAGAGTTGTAGTGAAAGGAGGGACAGATTTGCTGCTGCAGGAGGCCCCAGGGCGGGGGGCCCCCCCCCCTTATATGGTGGGATTTTGGGGGCAGCAGTTTTTGAAATTAGAAATGGAATTGTGTCTTGTTTCTTTTTTAAGTGCTTTTAAATGCTTTTAATGCTTTTAAGTGCTTTTAATGCTTTTGAAATCTTTTGTCTTTCTTTGCTCTCAGATGTTCCACGTCCTCAGGAGGGGCCCCCTCCCGGTGCTGCCGTCTTTGCGGGGCCCCCTGGACAGGTGGGGCTCCCTGTTGTTGCTGCTGCTGCTGCTGCTGCAGCGCGTTGGGTCTGGCCTGCTGAGGCTTTTGTGGCTCGAGGGACAGAACATGCGTGGAGGCGCCAGGGCTTCAGAGCTTCTCTCGCTGCTGCTGCTGCTCCTGCTGCTGCTGCTTCTGCTGCTGCTTCTGCTGCTGCTGCAGGCTACTGCGCTACGCCGTCACGCGGCTGCGCCTTGCTGCTGCTGCTGGAGACAGAGGCAGCGCCTTGCTTTGTGGGGCCGAGGGGTAAGTGCAGCAAAAGAGCTGCTCCAGCTAGCTGCTGCTGTGTCTAGCTACTGCCACTTTCTGCTGCTGCTGCAGCCTGCTGCTGCTGCAGCCTGCTGCTGCTGCAGCCTGCTGCTGCTGCTGACAGCTGCTACAGCGTGCAGCTTTTCCTCCTGACAGCTGCTACTTCCAGCGGCTGGTGCTGCTGCGCGCTGGCCCCCTGTTGTTGCTGCTGCTGCTGAGTGCTGCTGCTACCGCGTGCTGCTGCTGCCGCTGCGTGCTGCTGCTGCTGCTAACAGTCGCTAGTTCTAATAGCTGCTGCTGCGACAGAAAACATAAAAGCAACTAAGCGCTGGAGAGACCGGCAGCAGCAGGGAGCTGGAGGCAGCAGTGACGCAGAGGCAACCCCAGCAGCAGCGCCAGCTGCAACAGCAGCAACAGCAACAGCAGCGCAGCAGCAGCAGCAGCAGCAGCAGGCAATCGCCATTTAGACATTGTTTGTGTTTCTTTTCTGAATGCTTCAGCTGTGGGGCCCCTTTTATTGCAAGTCGGATTTGTGCCATTTTGGGTCTAAATTGCATTTCCATTAATTGCTACGCACTTTCTCCCGCTGCTGCTGAAGCAGCAGCAGCAAGTAAGCTACCTCAAGCAGCTGCATGGCACTTAGGCGCTGCTGCTGCTGCTGCTGCCGCTGCTCCCGTTGCAGCCCGTGTCCCCACGCCACAGCCGCCGCTGGTGCTGCTGCTGTTACAGCCCGTGTC